AAGAATTTTATTTGGAAAGCTTCCCTTGAAAATTTTCTTATTAGATTCTTGTGTTAATTTTATATTTTGGTATCTGATTTTTAGTTTTTTTGATAGTTTATTATCAACAATATATGACATCACTTGTTGTGCAATATAGATTGTGTTACAAGCGCCACCCGGAGCATAACTCAGTGGTGCAAATGATATGAGTGATTTAGTTTCATCCTTATTGACAGCCGCAGTGTGAGGGTTCGATCTCTGAGTTATGGAATTCGACTTTTTGTGGGCACTAGTGTACGGGTAAGTTTTTGTTCCCTAACCCGCTGGGGTACATCCTGCGATTTACCTCCCTCACGATACTTTAGGAGTGGGACGATGGGGGCCCTCAAAACTGGGGTTCAACCTTTTAGATTGTGTTACAAAATATGAACAAGTAGACATCGATTATAACAATTGGCCCAAGCTACATCAAGAAAATGTTGGTTGGGTCGACCGAATAGACCACCTTGGTCGAGTTGCCATATTCCATATTCACTCTGCACTCAAAATAGACATCACTAATTAGTTCCAACCATGCAATTGATTAGACATATAATCACTTTTTTTTTTTTTTTTTTTTCCTTTTACCAATAATCTTTTGTAAACAAAATCTTGAGTTAAAATAGGAGGAAGATAACAATTGATTTCCGGTGTAAAGCAGGATTAGACACCTTAAAGAAGAAAGACAAGGGATAACATTTACCGTACGTCCCAACTAGTTTATAGTTCATGGTACCAATCCAATAACTTTTGGTAACAATTCAACCTTACTGATAGTATTTCATCCAAGATTCAAACATAGCCCCCGTTTGATTTCCATTATTTGGCCACAAAAATAAAAAATATGATCGTTATCCATTACATCATGTCACAATATTTGACTTTATATCTCTTATGTGGGTTCCGTAACAGCTATATTTTTCATTCTTATTTTTACAAAAATGAAATCCAAACGGGATTTGGCCTTTCATATTAAGATAAACTTATGGACAAAAGAGTATCTAACATAGTGCATGTTTACCAAGCTGGATTGAGCAGAATAATAGTAAAGAAAAAAAAGTTAATATTTTATACATAGTGATGTCTAGTCGAGTTCAATACTATATATGAAACTAATATTACCGTCTTCCTTGAAATAAGGCGTCAAAAACAGGGGGGGGGGGATGGTACACTTAATTGTTCATTCTCCCATAACATAACAAAGCTCTAACGAGCCATAGTCAATCAACTCCTCAATCATCTGCTCTACATGATCATCTTCCAAAGGTTTAAATGGATCGTCATTACTCCCTATTTGGCTTTCACAATTCACATAATCCCTTGAAAAATCGACCCCAATTTGACCATCTCTTTGAACAAATGCAAAGTCATTAGGACATTGAGTTTGTTCCACTTCATTTAGCTTATTCATAACTGGTTTCTTGGCCATTTCGAGAGATTTCATGTAGCATTTTTGTAGCTTAGCCATTAGAGTTGCAGAAAGAAACTTCGATGACAAAAATTGAGGCTCATTCATGCTGTCTGCAAAGTTCGTGTGTGCTCTTGTTCCGCACATGATCCTTGCAGCCTCGTCATATGCTCGTGCTGCATCATCCGCTGTCTCAAATGTGCCGAGCCATATTCTTGTCTTCCTGCATAGGCCAAAACATTTAAAACAACATCAATCCAAGAATAAGAAGCGCATAAGAGTAAAATTTGGCACTTCTTTTGTCGTATTAGAATAGACAAACATGCTAAATGCCGGTTTGTTTGCCATTTTCCACCTCAGTTTTAGAAGAAATTTTATTTGAGTTTAGGTTTAAATCTGACTAGAAAAATATTCTACGACTAGCAAGTCATTTATTTTCAAACTAACCCATTTACTATCTATCATTTGATTGACTAATCTTTATATTGGAATGGGTGAAGGGTTCTTTTATCTCACAACTTACATTTTGCAAAGACTATGTTTCTTCTAATAATGAGCAAAAAATGGTGCCCCAGAAGCTCTCTAAATTCAAATATCATCGTCACATTTTAACTTTTACACAGAATATATATAAGATCTTGTGTAGATAAATAAGATTTGCATGTGGGGTCAAATTTTGATGATATCCAGTTGAATACTTGAAGTGGCAGTGGGCTCCACTGAATAATGGATTGGGAACCCACTGCCACCAGTACTAGTCAAGTATAAAGCCATTCGTATAGAAAAATGGCTCACAGAATTCCGCCGGATGCTCACAATGTGTGGGCCACAGGTGATGATAAAAAATGCCAAACACATCACCACATTTTAACTTGTACATAAGAATATAGGTAAGATCTTTCATAGAAAATAAATCACACTAGAATGCAAGGGCCGGTTTTAAGAATAAAGGCATCACCAATCTCGATTACTAGTCTAGGTGGCAGTAAGCTCCATTAGACAATGAATTAAAGGGATCATGGCCACCCAGCATTATTCTGGTTTTTATCATAAAATTTGCTTCAACTATCTCGGACTAGGAAGTTCAAGGAGGAATATGAACTGTGGGAGAGATTTAGATGTGAAATCAACCTACGTAAGAACAGTAGCCTACAACTGACTGAGACATTGCATCATACACATTAACCGCGGTATTATAAGCAGCAATTGGTAAGAGAGAATTTACAGTAAAGGGTGGCGTATTTCGGAGACCCAAGAGCCCCAGTGCCTTTGGCGAACGCCGTGGTATCGCTGTTGTGATCTAGCCATTGTTGGTACAGAGAAAGCAGAAGGTTTTGAGTTGAAAAATGCCTGTTGCTTGTGAAAATGTCTGAGAGAGAATGACGATGGCATCGATATGGAGTTTGGGGGGCTAGAATTGAAGGGGTTGAAGGCATCCTTTGCGGCTTCACAATGAGATTGGACCTACCAGATTTTCTATACCTTTATTTCCTTGCTTTCTAATGAGAGTGAAGAAAAATGTGAAAATGTAAACAAGATTTACTAAATGTTTGATTTATATTAAAATAAGTTTTTTTTTTTTTTTTTTTTTNAAAAAAATTTTTTTTTTTTTTTTTTTTTTTTACAGTATATTTTGATAAAAGCTGATAAAATATATAGTTGGAAAATTGTAAGTTACATGAAATATATGGTTGTTAATTAAAGACTTTAACTTAAATTTTAATTTTTCTAATTAAATAAAACAAGGGCTATATCTATGTTTTGCTCTCGAGAGATTCATAAGAATTTTACTTCTTCATCATTCATATCTATCTATTTACAATTTAAATGCTTTATTTCTCGAATATGCTTTTTGTGTTGACTAATGATGAGCGTAGATTAATGATAAGTAATTAGTTGCAAGAAATGATGGATCTTGAGTTGGGATGTCGGTACTATTTTTACAAGTATAGTGTGTAGAATAGGCTGCTTGTATTTATTATAGTGGAAAATTTTAGGTACAAAAAATTTTGGCATGATTTCTAGATGAATAATGCTACGTAGCACAAAAGTGTTAAAAATAACATTATTTATCATCAGTGATGTTTGAATTATTGTTCAATGCAAATGCGGTGCCACTCTTGGGCAAGACCACCCACAAAATTTTAATTTTAATTTTTTAAATTAATTAATTAATTAATTTATTATTTTTTTTAAAGTTTGATGAAGTTCTATTCTGCGGTTATGGGAATTTTCTGGATGAAATACATGAGATTTGAAGCGGTAAGGACTAAGATTAAGATAGGCAATTAACAAATTATAACACTTAAAGGAAAATTTGAGAGAGAGAGAGAGAGAGAGAGAGAGAGGATGTAATAATGGTATTGAGCCGAAGATGACTACGATTTCTTATTTGAGGTGGCGTTGATATGCAATTCGAGTGTGGACGAATCGAATTTATTATCGAGTTTCACTCGAAATGAGTTCAATCTCGAATCAAATTGATGATCGGGGTTGAGTTTGCCACTCGAAGCATCCAAATTGATGATAAAGTAGTCAAGTCCCAAATTTCAGACAATGCTAGCCAAGTACAGTATATATGTATATGTGTTTTGTTTTTGTTTTTTTTTTTTTTTTGGGTAAAATGAAATATGTGCTTTTCGTGAATTGGGGTTATCTAGATCTGGGTAGCATTATGTTGATTTATATTCTAACATTTTATTTGAATTAATAGTTGGGTTCTCTTTCAATGAGACGTACTTGTCTTTCTGTATTTACTTATGGGGTTTTTCGAATTTTTTCTTCTTATACTTTTTGTTTTGGAGTAGTTGTAAGTAGCGACAGAGTTGGAGCCAGAGCTGGAGCCGGAGCCGGAGCTGGAGCCGGAGCCGGAGCCAAGGAAATTGAGAATTCAATTTTCATCTCTGATGTGTACAATTTCCATGTACTTCTTGGAGGGTTTTAGTTAGCAATTTCTTGCAAGGATTTAGTAATAGAACAAAGCAGTATTTTATCTATTGCGAAAATATATTTAATAAAATTGATAATGATGTAATTATACGATGTTTTCAGAATATGAAAATATGTCCGGAATAATTATAATAATATTATTTATAATGATTTTTCTATATAATTTTTATCCATCCAAATAAAATATCCTAACTCCAACGCTGGTTCAATATATTAAAATACATCATAGCATCATTAATTAATGAATCTGATTGTCATGTGACAAAGTATTATATCGTTAAAATCGTAATGTGAGATAAAATAAAATTGCAATAAATGATTTGATTTAAAAAATAAAATAAATTGATTTTAATTTAAAATTTTCTAATTGATATAAAATAATTTCAAAAACTGTTCAAACAAAACCGTTTTATCCTACAATGTTTTCATGTGACATCTCATTCCCATAATTATAGCAGCTATTTTTGACTAATCCCGTCCTATTACGTAGGTTACGCAACTCGAGAATGCAATTTGCATACATTTTTCCACGCTCATCTTGATTTTGAAGAGCCAATTAGATAGGGTTTAAGTGTCTTTACCTTAATCAGCGGCTCCTTTATATGTTGTGATATTAATATTTCTACATTCTTTTTAATGTTGATGTTGACATTTAATACTTGTCTATAGATTTTGTTGTCAAATTGTGTGCACTAAAGTATTTTCTTGTATCTAAAAGCGCCTACAACATATGTTTTTCCTTTATTAAAGTAGTGTGGTGATTAAAGACACTCATATACTTACTCGACTCAAATTAAGTTATATTATTTGTTAGCAGAAAATTTGTAGAAGTTATAAGGTTTCAATTTCATTTACTTTGATACTTGTACAAAATGTGAAAATGATAGCGAGCCTGACATACAATGTCTCTCTTATAGGTATTGTGGGATCCTGTTCTTAAAGATGATTAAGATCATATTTTGTCACAGTATCATGTCATAAATTCATATGTTTGAAACTACCAATAAACTCATAATGGGTAAGGAGGCTCAAGAAGTGCTCAACCCACTGATTGTTATGCAATTGAGATCGAGTTATAACATCAAACTTGTATAGTAGTCCGGTTGATTCATGACTAGACTTGGTCATTAGTGGGTGTCGAAGAATGTTTGTCGGTTATTAGTCCTCGTGGATTTGTCGGTTATTAGTCCTCGTGGAACATGCCAAGTTCCTGTAGATAGTGTGGTGGGTTTCTTTATTGCACCGTCTATAAATTAAGATCTATGTGTAACAATAGATTTTCTACTATACAGTGACGTTCATTGATTGAATTAGTAGTAAGATCTATGTGTAACAATAGATTTTCTACTATACAGTGACGTTCATTAATTGAATTAGTAGTACATTAATGACACGTGTCATAAGATATTAGAAGTGATATAAACTTAATAATAATAATAATAATAATAATAATAATAATAATAATAATAATAATTGAGATGGGAATTTTCAAAACGTAAATGGTAAAATTCTAATTTTTCAAAGTTTTGAACAATTCAGTTGAGGGAAAAAGAATAAAGAAAAAGAAAGATAAGATTACGCGTGCTTTGAGAATAAAAAATATAATTAGTTAGAAAAAAATACTCCTTTCTTCTCATGTACTCAATAGCTAACACCCTCCTTTTCCCCCATTGCAAAATAAAATATATCAATGGTAGCAAAAGTGCATTAAGTACCCATGTGATGGTGATTAAAATCAAATTATTAGTAATTTTTATTTATTTTTAACTCTACGTTCTCTAAGAAATTACTATTCCAATAAACACTTCTTCCCAACACCCCACTAAAATAGAGCCCAAACAAGGGCTTAATAATATAAAAAATAATTGTAAAAAAATTATCAATATTAGCTATAAATTTAATAAATAGCAATATTCAATACTGACTACTGAATTTATAAAGGGCAGCCGTTTTCATGCTATGTAATCAAAAGTTCAAATAGTAGAATGGAAAGAAAAATGCTTTTCATATGTTACAAGGACGAAACGCTCGCGCATATATACACACACATTAGTCTTTGCACGTGCAATGCACGAACTGAATTATTTTGAAGGTAATATTAGTGCCTTAAATGTGGTTGATTCTCTTGAATTATATCCTCAACTTAATGTTTGCTTTGGCTACATTGGGATGATCTTTCCCTTAATAAGTAGAGTGTAACAGAATTGAGAACAGAGTTACTTCACAGAAGTTTCTTTAGCCAACCTTACAATATTTTTTACGCAAGCTTCCAATACAGATGACATGCTTGCAGGATGACCATTCTCCACAGGTAAATACATTGATTTCTTTTCACTTATAGCCATCAGAACTCGGGAGTAATTATAAAATCGGACTAATAATGTAATAAAAACTTTTTACAAATCAGGAAGCTAGTATAGCCATTCATTGATTCCACCTCTTGGTCTTGTAGCCCACTGTGTATGACCAGATAAACAACATGACATGATTAGAGTAAGATGATAAATATCACAAGTATTCGTCCACGCATTAGATAACTTAAGATGGAACTATCAGTAATGCTAAAATACAAGAGAAATCAGGGTGGACCTTTACAGGAAATTGACAATTATAAAACAATTTATGCATGTAAAAGAACATGATTTGATGCATTCAAACTCTAATGACCGTTTCTAGAAACATTTAAGTGAATGGAAAAAAATTCTATTAAAATTCTACTCAATATAGACTGAATTCATTATAGACTCATAGACTCACGCAAAATGGAACAATAAACAAAAACGAACATTTAGATTTATCACAAAATGACAAGGATCTAACGTATCACAAAGGAAACGGCAGAAATGTTTAATTAGACTAAACGACTTCGACAAGTCACACAAGTTTAAAGGCTTTAGAGACTTACGTTTAGGTAAGCGTTAAACAAGTTTCAGTAACCCCTTTAATGGTATCATCCAAAGGAAGAATGTGTACACGCTTCCCATACTTCGCATCTGTACATTGATTAACAGAGCAGAAACCTCATCTCGGTACCTAACAGGCCCGGTCTTGGGCCGAGGCCAATGAGGCCGGCGCCTCAGGCCCAGGACCATAGGGGGCCTAATTTTGGCCCAACCAATTTTTTTTTTTAAATAATAGCAATGGCTACCGACCCAAAGGGCCAAAACCTGATTCTGAAATACAATCAAAAAATTTCAAAATCTGAAAATATAGCAGCCTGCTCGTGAGTCGTTGCCTCAGTGTCGTCTCCTTCAGGTCAGTGATTCCCAAAATCTTTGAGAACTCGTTCGAAGTCTTAAGTCTGCAGCTCTTCTATTCTTGAGTTGCCTCTTCACTTGGACTTGGTAGTTCTGCACCATACGCCCATACCGTTGGGGGCGCAAATTTTCCAATCTGGACACTTTAGCAAATCCCAAAATTTTTTATATTTATGAATGACTTAGTGCTTAAAGTAATTTCAGAATATGTTTAAAGTTGGTGTGAATGAGTAGCAGATTCCGATGATTTTGTTGATGTTTTGCTTGATTTGGAGAAGAAAAACATGCTCTGTCT